AAAGAGTGGCATGCAACCTTAAAAATAAAGCAGTTGGGTCTTCCCTGGTGGCGCAGTGGTTGAGAGTCCGCCTGCCGATGCAGGAGACACGGGTCCATGCCCGGGTCCGGGAAGATCCCACATGCCGCAGAGCGGCTGGGTTCGTGAGCCATGGCTGCTGAGCCTGCGTGTCCGGAGCCTGTGCTCCGCAACGGGAGAGGCCACAACAGTGAGAGGCCCGCGTACCGCAAAGAAATAAAAATAAAAATAAAAATAAAAATAAAATAAAGCAGCTGAAGGCCCTTTTTACCCTCTGGACTGAACCAAAGATTTTGTGCTACAGATGAGCACAATTCTGGAAGATCTCTGTTCATTTTAGAAAATAAAAAAACAGAACTTGTATTACAGAAGTAAAAAATAACAGAAAGCTATAGAAACAAGAACCTATTGATTGTTATTTCCCAGATGACACTTTACCTTACTTGATTGGCATTGTCCTTAGGAAGAGGCTCTGCCTCCACCACTTACCCATGGGCATCCTGAATGGTTTCCTGGTGTATCAGTGTCTCACTTTTGCTCTTGAACGTCCCTGTGTGGTGGTTGTACAAGGCTGCTAATCGGAAATCCAGATCATCCTTCGGTATCTACGGAGGAAGCCAACCCCGCCACCCCCAGGGTTAACTTGCCACATTTGCACCTGCTCTAGTCGGGTTCTGTTGGGCTCTACTCTTGCCCCAAAGCAGAGTGAGCCCCTTTTGGGCCTGAGATCCACCAACTCCCTATATACCAAATCTCTGTACATGATGACTTCTTAACTCTTGTCCATATAGAATTGTCTCATGGTTAGGTCTAAGGAGTGGGGAGCTCTCCTGGAGACATGAGAACCACTACATTGTCCTTGGCTTGAGCTTAACGGGCCTTACCTCGTTCATGGTTATAATGAGAAGTCTGGTGAGAGAATGATTTGCTCCAGATAATCAACTGCAGCAAAACCCAAGCCTTCTGACTTCCCAGAGGAAGTTGATAAGTTGGTATTTGGTTTTAGATTTGGTAGGATCTTGGATTGGGGACAAGATAAAGATGCTAAAGTAGTCAGGGACAGACTACCTTTCAAAAAGGATATTAATTAGTCCTAAGTGGATATAAGGAGAAATAGCATTTCAATGCTAGGTACCTCAGGATCAAAAAAATAAACAGCCTGCCTCATGGACGTGATTGTGGGAGTTGAGCTGAGTCGACACCAGGGTTCCTGTTGCTGAGCAAGGTGAGTTGGGTTCTTATATGGCAGTTTCTGCAAAAGAGAAACCACACCCACCCCTGGTTACCGGAGGCCTTGCTGATGTGATAGCGTCAGTGTCATCCATCCCCTTATCCCATCCCATTTTAACTGAATCGCAGACATCTAAAAGAGAAGAACGAAATGGGGCAAGACTCCCAGGCTTCTGATCCTCCTAAGTTTTCAATCTCAGAACTGACAGAAATGGGCCAGGAATACAGGGAAAGGGGTGAAGTGGGACAGGAGGTGAAGGGTGGGGAGCAGAGAGGCAAGATGAGCTCAGGTTTAGAAGTCCTGAGCTTGAAGAAGAGAGAAGATATCGTAATGCAATTAACAGGTAGGAAATTGGAAGTGTGCAATTGTTGGAGGAGAGCTCAGAACAAGTAGTAGAGATCTGGGGGTCATCCCCCCGAAGTGGTGGTTGAAGCCTGCAAAAAGGCGTCTGAACAACAAGGAAGAGGCGGTTCATGAGGACTGCACAGTATTATAATGGGGGTGGCGGTGGGAGCAGTCAGAGACGAGAATCAGGAGAGAGCAGTGTCTAGGCAGGTGAGAAAATTTCAGTAAGCAGGGAAGGGTCATTGTGTCTGCAGGAATGTCAAAAAGTTCATTGGATGTTCAGTCCTCTAATTAAAACCCCACAAGTACGAATATGAAAAGCACAGTTGATTTCTTCATTACATGTAAAATGCCATACTGTTCACCACTGTATCCCCAGTGCCTAGCACAGCGACCTAACACATGGTGTTCTAAAATGAAATATTGATTGAATCAATGACTGAATTCCAGTGAGTACAACTACAACCTAGTAGAAACCTCATTCAACCTATCAGATGTAGGAACACTCCTCCTCCCCTGTATATAACACAGTGCTGTGTGACTCAGCTCAATTAGGCATTAATTGAATGGTGTGAACCAGGCAGTATACTGTCACCAAGAAAGATGAAAAAGGAAATGGGAAAACTACAAATACATATGATGCAAGCACAGGCAGCTCTCTTCCCATTTCTCGAAGGCTGCATAAGCCTCTGTAAGCAGAAGGATGAGACGGTCTTTCACAGAGAAAGTCAAGCCTGTCAAGCGTGAGTGCCATCTTCACATCCATTTTCCTTCCATCTCAGAGAAAGGGAAATCCCTTTTATTCAAGAATCACCCTTCCCTGAACCCAGCCCTTCCTGGTGCTTTAGGGCCCTGTGCTATCCTGCCAGCCCCTGTACCCAGCTTCTCCTCATTCCTTTGTCATTGTCTAGCTACCACTCCATGACCTTCCCTACCGAGCCAGCCTTCTTAAAGAGTCAACACTTGCCACCTCCACTTCCTCCCCGTTCCCATTCCCTCTTCTGCCCACTGCAGTCTGGCCTCTGCCTCAAGCACCCACTGAAACTACTCTTGCTGGTGACCACCGACCTTTGTGTCTAGGTCAGGTGGATCCTTTCCAGTCCTGACCTGCTGACCTCTGTGGTTTCTGCACCACGACTCTGATTCCACGAAATGTTCTCTCCATCCTATGTGGGTCCAGATCCTCCGGGTTCTCCTCCTGCCTCTGGCTATTACTTCTCAGCTTCCTTCTCAGCTCTGCTTTCTCTCTCTGTCCCTTAGTGGTATTCTCCCGGGGGGGGGGGGTTCTCTGCCTTTCTGACTCTCACATTCACTGGATGAGCTCATTCTCTCCTACACCTTCAACCACCAGATGAATACTGTGGCTTCCAGACATTTTCAACCCACAGCTCTCAACCAGGTTGCCTACTCTTCATCTCTATGGAAATGTCCCACAGGCACCATGAAAGCAACAGCTACATAACTGATCTCAACATCTTTCTCCCCAAACCTGCTTTCCCTGGATGCCTCATTCAGTAAATGGTATCAGGTAAGCCCTCAGAAACCTGGGAGCTCTCCCTGACTCATCCACTCTCTTGAACCCATGTCCAGTCAGCCACAAAGTCCCATCAGTCCTGCCCTTTGCATCTTACCGCCATCCCCTGCATCACTGCTATACATCCGTTACTCCTCCTGGAGATCACTGCACCAGCCTCGTAGCTGATCCCTCTTGTCGCACTAACATCCTGTCCAATCCACTGCCACTTGTGCTTTCTACAACACCCATCTAGTATGCCACTCCAGTGCTTACAGTCCTGAGATGATGCCCCAGGATGAAAACCTAGCTCACTAGCATGCTGTACACAGCACACCCACCCCAGGAGGGTCACCTCTCCAGCTTCCACCCTCTCCACTTCTCCATTTCACACCAATGCTTCAGCCACTTTGGACTCTTTGGTCCCAAAGAGGCCACCCTCATCCTCCTCTCTATGTATGTGCACCTGCTGCTCCCTTTGCCTTGAATGTCTGGTTCCTGTTTCCTTCCTCCTAACTTACATTCCACCTCCTCCCTCCCCTGGTCCAGCTGACTCATATTAGGATGTCAAAACTCACCTGCTCTGGGAGGCTTTCCTTTAAGCTCCTGTTTCCCATGACACACCACATATAACTGTCACAACACATGTGCTGTTGTGCAAGCACTTTTGCTGTTGCTGTCCTCAGTCTGGCTTTTATACTAGATTTCCCTGAGAACAGGAGCTAATATAATGTGTCTATACATCCTCAGTTTTTAGCAGAGTGCCCGGCATACAGTAAATAATAAATGTTGAATAAACAAAAGGGAGTGCTTTGATTTTGTTATTAAGCCACAATTACCATTTAGTTCACCTTATTTTTCACCACTTCAAACATCTCACGTACTTCTACGAGAAAAGTAGAACCTGGGCCTAGGTAAGCCCCATTATAGCAATCATTGCTTAGGGCTGTGAGTGCCTCTTGTTCCTCTGGACTAGAACTCCACTTGCCTCTGCTCAAAAGCACCTGCGAAATGTTGGCAGACCTGAATATGGGGACATGGAGGAAGGCAGAGAACAGACTTCTCCGGTACCTGACTCAGTGTCTTCACCATACTCCTTTAAGTTACCATCTCTTCCTGTCGCGCCGACAGAAAGAAGAGTGCGGTCGACCCTACTAGGAATCTGCGCAAGAAACCTCAGTACCTCGGAAGCCCGCAGTTTTCCCAAGTAGGAATCATCGTTATCCAACGTAGGATTCTGGAAAGGGTCTCGGGTGAGAGGCATGGTAAAATGCCGAGCGAGACACTCTTAAGAGTGATGAGAGGCCCGCGCAGCCGCTCACAATCTTGCACGCGGAGGAGCCGGGGTCCCAATTGTTTGGCACGCCCAATTTCAGTTGCCAGGCGACTACCCCGCCGTCTATGACTGAGGCGAATTCCCTCCGAGAATGGCGCCACCTGGCGGTCCAACGAGGGAGGCCCCTCCGGAAGAAGCTACTGGGAACGCAGAGGGAAAGCGCCGCGGAGTGTACCGGGGAGCCCAGGATTGGCACTCGTGAGACTTCGGTGAAAAACGCCGAACAGGTCTTCTGCAAAAGACTTCAGTTAAAGAAAGAATTCCTAAAAGGTGGCCCAGAAATGTCCTTCCTCCTGGCATCTAACCAAAGGATTTCTCAAAGCGATGAGAGAATGGGGATGTCAAGAGACAGAAGAGTCCAGGTGTCGTGCTTGGAAAATTGCCGGCCAAGGCAAACTCTCCTTGCTTAAAGGAGCCTCAGGGCTTCGCATAGCGCCGGTTGTAAAGGCACAGATGGATTTGGCGGGGTGGAAGTAAGATCTCCAGAAGAGGCTGTTAGAGTAGGTGACACGTGCCGGGGCCACTCTTCCAGGCTATAAGCTCTGGAGAAGAGACGGCATCTCAATCATTTTTCTATCGCTTCACACATAGGAGGTGATTAATAAGTATATATAGAACGCCACGTCTGCAAAATTAGAGGTTTTCATAGGTAGCCGATGGCTACGAAATAATGAATTTGGTGGCGAAGGCTTGGAGGTTGTTTCCACCGCGTTCTTTACACAAGCCCTGTGAGCGCCTGTTGGGACGGTTGCAGACCCTGGGCACTCGCATTCCCACGCCGCGCGCGCCAGTGGCGGCAGCTGCCATGGAGACCGGCAGGTGAGCTGCAGAGGAGCTAGTGGTCCGTGCCCCACCCGCGCGGAGGGAACGAGGAGGCGGTTGCCAAGGCGACGTGGGTAAGAGGAGGAGAAGAGCAAGGAGGGAGGAGGAAGGATGGGCGGCCTAGGCGTAGGGAGGTGACTGAAGCGAGCCCGGCCCCTTGCATCCTCCCCCCTGTGAATCTCCCTCCCCTTTTTTTCCGCCTTCTTCCAGCAGTAGCTGCAG